ACTTAGCCACATTACAAGCCTATAACCCGATTGGTTACTAGTCCCAAGCTTGGCTTTGGGGAGCTAAGAGTGAGTGAGGTGAGGGAGTTGTAGTGTACACATAATTTGCATAATTTTGGGTGGGTTTGAGAAGCTATTTATTTGTTCTTATTTTTGTGAATTGGAAAAAAGTTGAAAAAAAGTGTTCAAAAGTTGAAGAAGGCCATTATGAGATAAAAAGAAGAAAAAGAGCAAAAGAAAAAAATGTTTCAATGTTCAAGTGTTCTAATGAAGGTTGCTCAAAAGGAAAAGAAAAAAAAGAAAAAAAAAAGAGTTCAAAGATAGTTTATTCACTCTATTTCCTTAATGTCATATTTTAACGAGTGAAGTTGTAAGTGTTGGAAAATATGTGATATTATTGGATTGGTTGTTTGGTGAATTTTTGGTAGAGTTGAGTTGTGTTGGAGATGATTTGGTCATTATTTATTTTTGACCTTGTTTTTATTAGGATTTTGGCTCCCATACGCATGGCTTTACCCTCATGTTTTCCCAAATTTATCCTACCTTTTACCCTAACCTTACGTTTCAAGCTTTGAAGACCTTCCGACCTTTGTGCATAGAGTCGTATAGATGGGAAATTAGTTGTTTATCAATGCAAAGAATTATTTGATATATTTCGAGTCGACTACTAGGTTGAGTGCTTGTTTTCTTAAACACACGAGTGTTATGAGTTTGGGAGGGCATTGTTCACATTAAAGGGGTTGGATGGAGAGTGAACGGATACAGTTTATATCCACCTCATAAAAGAGTGAAGAGTGCATGAGCATTAGTCTTGAATTCCATATACACTTGTGGTTTGCTCTACTTGACAATTGTTAGGGAGGATGAGTAGTTGGATAGATTTGATTGGTTGATTTTGATGCATATTTGTTGGATTTGCCTTGAATTGATTATGCTTGGTTTTAAATGATTTGAAAGGAATGGTGTCCTTCCAACAAGTGTATTATTCTGATAGAGGGTTCAGGATTAATAGGAAGCTAATTCTTCAATGAGGACAAGTGATTTGAATGCCTGGGTGGAGGCCTCTTCCGATCAGTAATATTAATGAATAATTAATATTACAGCTGTATCTTGACTAAACCCTTCGGGTCGAACCCAAACGAACTGCCGATCCGAACCGACGAATCAATCCGAAGGATATGATGAGTCACTAGAGTATTACGAATACAAACGTCGGATATCGAGCCTAGAGCGTCGAGACCAAGCGTCGCAAAATCAACAAGCAACAAGTTCGAGCGAGGCTGTAGCATCGCATTGGCCTAGCCATGCGAATGCTAGGCTAGCTCGAGCTAGCATGCGCTTCGCAGTGCTAGGCGCAAGCCTCGCTGGTGCCCAACAAGCCTAGCAGCTATCGCAAGGCTAGGCCTTGCTAGTATGCTAGGAGGTGGCACACGGCAAGCCCAGCAAGCATCGCAAGGCTAGGCCTTGCTAGCTTGCTAGGCGCTGGCGCACAGCAAACCCAGCAAGCAACGCAAGGCTAGGCCTTGCTAGCTTGCTAGGCGCTGGCGCACAGCAAACCCAACAAGCAACGCAAGGCTAGGCCTTGCTATCTTGCTAGGGGCTAGCAGCTGGCAGCAAGGCACAGCTGGCTAGGCCTTGCTATCTTGTATAGGTTGGGCTTGTATAGTTTTTTATTTTTCAATTTGGGGGTGTTGGGGGTTACCAAAAAAAATAATAACTCTACTTACTTTTTTATCCCGATGTTATGTGCATTACTTTTTATAAGTTTTATAACGATTTTCACAAATGCACTTTTTACTTATATTTTAATTGTAGGAATGGCAAAGAAAAAATCCACTAAATTGGGAGCAAGCAATCAACAGTTTCAAACTGATGAAACAAGAATTCCAGATTATGAGAGGTCAAGATTTCAAAGGATCAGAGAAAATGCTCTAAAAATGCAAGCTTTAGGGCTTCATGAAAAGGCTAAGTCATTGATGGGTCGATATCAAACTGAAAAAGGTAGCCATGGGAAAATTAATAAAAACAAAGATGCGGAGGAATATGAGATCTATAAGCCAGACCAAGATTCTGACATTGATGAGCATGAGCATGATTCTTCTTTTGAGGGGACACATATCAAGGAGACTTTAAGTAATCAAGGCTCCAACTCTAATCATAAAAAGGTAATTACCTCTAAATGTAATTGTATGCCTTTTTTATTTGTAACTACAAAGCAAGTCTCCTCTTTATGATTAGCAGGTAGTAGCATTGTTTTCTTTAATTGAATGACAAATATGTTGGTAAAAACAGCTTTTGCATATATATATTTTTAATGCATGTTCTATAGATTTTCAAAATGAAAAGAGCTCGAAAAGCAATAGCAATGGCAATGGCTTATAAGAAGCGTCAACATAAACTTGGGCCCATTTCATCAGCAATATAAACAAATGACGCTGTTGCGCAGCAACCTACTGAAACTGCACTGGGGCTCTCAAGTAGGAGTGACACTCATTTTGAAAATGGCAAGTCAGGCTTCCCTTTGTATATTTGAATAATTAAGTCTAATTTGTTTTACTTATTTATTTATTATCATTAATGAACCTTAGTTTACTTGTTGTTGGACACTCTAATTTCATAATCTTGTAAATTAAATTGTTCTGAAACCATGCATGAAACTAAATCAATATGTTATTTATGACTAAACAATTAGAACATTAAATTAGAGTCTTAAGTTATCATAACTAATTTTACATTATTAATTGCATGATCTAATCATTACCGTTTGTTCTTTATGGATGTGTTTGAAGCTGATTGCTCTAAAAATTTATATTACATTATCTAAATCTACTAGGGCCCAAACTAGTTTATTCGTGCATATGGACTGATTTTTACACTTAGATTAGATTATTTCCTTATATATTGATAATTTTTAAACTCTTGAATGGAATTGATTGAGATAGATGGAATTGAAAAGTCAAGAAGAGGTCCCACTATGTGTTATAAAGTCCATGGAAGAACTGAAGATGAACGCTTGGAAATTACTTTGAATGAGCATGGTCAACCTGTTGGTCCGGACGTTGATACATGCAATGTGTTTATTAGCTTCTTGGGAACAATAGCTCGAAAGGCAAATGTATTACCATTAACTATTCCTAAGTGGCCAAAGTTAAGAAATGAAAAGCAAGATGAACTTTGGGGATATGTCACAGTAAGTTTACATATACCTTTTTCTTTTAGCAAATCAATAATGTATGAGCATGATATATATTTTATACGCCATAACAACAATATTACTTATTATTGCAATATTTATTTCTTTGCATTATCTTTGTTCCTTCACAATTGTGTGCTGTGAGCTTGTTTCTTTTTTTTTCAAAAATAAAAATAACAAGGGGAGTAATCAGCTTGTAGTCAAATATAATTATTGTTACTGAAAGATCTGAAACTATGAATTACGATTAAAATTATAAGTCTTGACTAAAAAAACCTGATTGGTTATTGTAATTGTTTTAGTATTATGACATATATGTAATTATCGATAACTTAGATCAACGAGTACTGCAAATGTTGAATTATGATAATCACATACCAATAATTATGACTAAAATTTCTGTTTTTTCAATAAAACTTGATTATCTTTGCAATTATTGACATCTACGTTGTTGTAGAAACATTACATTGTCCCGGTTGAGGCTAAAAGATGGGTTTTGCAAGCCATTGGCGCTGCTTGGAGACGATACAAATGTTATTTGAAAAGAGTACACTTTCATAAATATGATAATGATAAAATGAGGTTGATGGATCCATCAAAATAGGTCCCAAAAACAATGTTCAAGGAATTGTTGAAGATTTGGAATGATGAAAAATATGAGGTATGTACACATGTACAAGTCTTATACTCACCGCCCTTTATGATGAATGCATATTTTTTGTTTTATGAAAAAAAGGTTATTTAATTAGTTCATTATCTTAATATGTCATAAACGATGTATACAAAATAAAGCAAATCGGTTAGTTGGAAAGGAGAAGAACATTATGCATACTTGTGGACCGAAGAGTTTTGCTAGGGTTCGATATAAATGGGTGAGTTTATTGTTTTCTTTTCTCGTCACTTTTACTATTGGTTTATTTCTTTATTAAAATGATTGACAATCATCACTCTTGTATAGAAAAAGGATAGAAAAACAACACAAAATCCTACTCTAGCTCAAGTGTTCATAGAAACACGCAAGGAAAAGCTCACAAAGAGGAAGCCCGGTGATCTAAGGGACATATTAATTGTAAGATTTATTCCCATTTTATGTGGTTATATTTTTTGCGTTTAATTTTGTCACTACTAATTTTTTTTTTCTCGTCTTAAAATGTAGAATGAACTTCAAGATTCAGAGAAGGATATTGATAGTGTGATTTCCACTATTATTGGTTCTGATAACAAGAAAAAGTCTCACATAAACCTTTATGGAAGAGGTGTTTCATCAACTCAGTTAAAGAAGAAAGCTTTGATGAAGGAAGTTGAAGAGAAGCATGCTAGGGAGGTCGAAGCTCTATAAAAAGATGATGAGGATAAAAGGCAACAAGATAGAAGGGAGATGGCAAATGGTCTTAGCTCCTTCTTTTCTCAACTTCTCAAATGTCTTTTAATCTAAGCATGTTTGGCTCTTTGTTTCTTGAGAGCCAAACTGAGAAGGATGGTAATAAAACAGGAATGCTTCGACTTCATTCTTCGGCTTCTACATCCAAGGTATAAACCTTTTGATTTCTAAATTATGCAAAGTAGAGTTAGATAGTGACTAAGGTCTTCATTATTTTTCTCTTATTTTTGGTGCATTTGAAAGATATTACCCCTATTAGATTTCGTTATTCGTCATAACAGCAAAATCAGTCAAGCCTTTGTATCCATTATTTTATGCCTTTCTTATTTGTTATTTTCTTCCAGTCATAAGTTATACATTTACGTTAGGCCATTCGAAATACAAAGTATATTAATTCTAGACTTTTTATTTTTGTTTTTGCAGGGAGTGAATAGTATGGAAAATGAACAAGAAGAAGATGTAATAGGCAGCGAGTAAGAGGAAGAAGAAGAATGTGATGTCATAATTCAATTTGAATTTGCTTTAATCTTTCTATTGTTATTCCTAGCTCGGACATATTTTTGCTTCTATTTATTAGCTAAACTAATATTATAGCCTACAACATACTATGAAACAATAGGTTATTAAGATGATTTGGTGTTAGAAAAAATGTTATTACTGCTTTTGTTTTTGTTTTTTGTTTTACTAATATAACTTTTATAAGTTTGGGATTGTATAGTTAAAAGCAATTATTCCTACTAGCTGTTGTTTCCTGGTTGCTACCTGTTGTGTGATGTTTTGCTGGCTGGTGCAGCAGCTGGCCTGCTGGGCTCGAGGTGTTGTTGCTGTTTCAGGTTGCTGTCTGGTGTTGCAGATGGATTGTTGGTTCTGGTGTTTGGCTGCTGCTGCTATTTCTGGTTGCTGCTGCTGTTTATGCTTGCTACTGGTTTTTGTTTATTAATGTTGTTGTTGTTGGCAACTGTTGTGTCTGCTTGATGTTTCAGTTGCTGCCTGTTTGTTCCAACCTAGTGCTGCTGGTTTTTGTTGCTTTGCTTGCTGTTCCTGTTTGTTGTTGCTGTGTGCTGGGTTGTTGTTGGGGCTGTTCTGCCAGCCTGCCAGCTGGGTACATGTGCTGCCACAGTTGGGTTCTACTGCTGTGGCTTGCTGGTTTTGCACTAATAAGTTGCTCCCAGATCTGCTGCTTCTGCCTGCTTGTTCTAACCTGGTGTTGATGATCTCTGGTGCCATTGCTTGCTGTTTATGGCTTGCTGTTGCTGGGTTGCTGTCTGGTGCTAACTGCTCTTTCTTGCTGGCTTCAAGTGCTGTTTTGGTACTGTTATTGCTGCTGTTAGCTCCATTGTTAATGCCCTATTGGTTTCTTTGTTGTTGGTTGGATGCTTTTAGGCTTCTCAAAGCTTGTATAATTGTAGTTGTTGTTTTGGTTGGTTGCTACTTATTTGCTTTGTTCATTCCTTTTGGTAGCTTACTTGTGTCCTGTTCCTTTGGTTCTGGGTAATCCTCCTAGAGGGTAGCTCGGTCTCATTGAGTTCAGAAGGGCCGTGTTTTTGTTGGCCCAAGGTCCTTAGGAACCCTTCCTAGAAGGTGGCCTTCGGACCTTGGACCTTGACTTGAGGTTGTGTGCCGTAGAGGCTTGTGGTGTTTTGAAGTTTAGGCCTAAGGGCTATTTGTATTCTCTTATTTGCTGCTTGTAGCTTCTTTTGGTAATAAAATTCTATTTACCAAAAAAAAATTAGATGTTTAATATTAAACATTTTTCTAGTATAACAATTTCACAAGAATACTGCACATTTCCACTCTTTTGCAATATAGCAATGTATTACAAAAGGATAAAATAGCCATTCATTTTAGCTCTTTCAATTTATATATAACAGTTTTTAAAGCGTCACCTTTTAGATATTTGGCAACACTTTTGTATTGTTACTAGCAAATACAACACGTGAAAAAGTTGTAGCATATTATGACATAAGGCGACATTTTTAAATTGTTTCCTAAGGTTGCAACAGTTTTTAATTGTTGCCTTTGTGAAATTGTTGCCTTAGGCATGAATTTACCTTGGCTTTTAAATTTGTTGCCTTATGAATAGACAACGGGGGCATAAGCAACGTCTCATATATGTTGCCTTAGCTACAAGGCAACACTTTTTTAATATTAGGCAATGGTTTTTCACTGTTACCTTTGCTTTATTTTGTTGTGGTGACATATTTAACTAAACATCTTTTCGAAGGTATGCTGTAGACAATCCCTTAAGACATTTGTAAAAGTTTATATATTATATTCCTGCTATAAAGGTAGATAAGTACTGCACCAAGTAAGCCCACCTTCCATCCATCCTTTTGCCGCATTACATGTTCTAACATGATGATCATGAAACTATGTATAAGATCTTCTACATCTCCCAAACTTGAAGAATTCAAGCTTTTCACTGAAGTTCTCTGATCAAACAAGAGAACAATGACGTCAGTACGCAAGTGATTCATACACATACACAAAGCACATGGGTTAGATATCCCCCTTTCTAATGGTAACCGTAAGAATATGTCAAGTTTCGTAATGCTTTTCCATAGCTATGAAGCACAGAATGGGCAAGAGGGTGACATTTCCCGTTCCTGAAACATCCCCAGTATACACGGGCAGGACAGGACAATTCGAGGAGTAGCAAGTATCGTCAAAGGACATTAAGGGAATGTCTGAAAGCATCTTGAGGACAACAAACTTCGTTAAAAGAGAATCGATCCCAGGATCACCTGAAACCGGGAAGGAAGCTCTTACCAACTGAGCTACCCCTCACTCTCACTATAACCCAAAGATGACTTAATAAAAAAATGTGAAAAAAAAAAATTTAAAAATAAAATGTGACCAAAGATGGCTCACTATATTTCAGTGCATCTCAGTTCTTACAATCACCTCTCCACCAACCTTTCTCCCTGAGCCAAATTGAACACCATAGCAGGACTATATATGGGTAGAGACTCACAATATATCCACAGCTTGACAGAATTGGACCATCAACCTTTCCAACTGATAACAAAAGCAGCCATCACAAGTGATGTCCCTTTCTCTCTCCCATCTCCCTTCAGAATCTCTAGACTCTCTACATCACCAATCTTCTCTCAAGCATCTTCTTTCTTTGACTGACATTATCTGCTCAATAATCTTAGTTATGTCTTATGTCACAAGCAATTACGCTTTGCTTAGCCATAAAAATCTAAATAAGTTGGTACAACTCCTGGATCTCCAATTCACTCAAATACCCAACACACGCCCCCCAACTACTTGCCAAAGGACTAACTTCCAGCTCTAACCTCTAAAGCCTGGAAAGTAGGAGAGCCACCACTCGGCTGCTCCCATTGTCAAAGCCTTTGCTCTAAAATGAATCACTGGAACTTTCTCTTCTACTCTCTCTCATAGGAAATCACTAAATGTGAATATTATCTAAATGTCTAAATTGCAAATTGTGACATGTGATTACTAACTAATAAAATTTAGCTTAGGGTTTCTAATTGAAATCATGATATAAAACAAAAAAGAATAATTAAGTATAATTGGATTAAATATGTTGTCAAAATGAATATAAGTATCATTGTAGGTTATAAAATAGATGTCATTAAAATTTGGCAAAAAAACAAAAAAAGGGGAAAGTAAACAAAGGCGAAAAGATTTTTAACCAAAAAATTGACATTCTATGTGTAATGGTCCCATATAACATATCATGATTTCTGTAATGGTTTATGCTTTAAATATCTTCTATGTGTAATGGTCCCAAATTTTCACTGAGATTCATTTTCTTATATTGAATGGAATGTTAAAAGAGATTTTTAAACATGTAACGCTGTGTCTAACCCCCAAATCATAAACCATTACAGAAATCAAGATATGGAGATTATATTCAACAAAATACATGCAGCGAGAACTGAGAAGGATATAAGTAAAACTATAAAAGCACCTTGGCCAGTAATCGATTAGGACCCACACCAGCACAAGTCAAACCAGTTTCTTCAAAAACACATCTTCTGATCTCTTCAGCAACCTTGTTGAAAAAGTATATGAAAAGATGAAATGAAGACATGAAGTAATTCATAAACTTAAGTGATGCGCACAGGTAAAGGATAAACAAAAGCAGATCAATTAGGAATATATGACAAATATTAATCATCAAGCATACTCACTTCATCACTTCTCACGTCTCTTTCTCTGCAGACCTCGATTATATCAAGGTATGCTTCATCTAAACTGGCAGAAATGAAGTTAAGGTCGTATCTCTGAAATACTGAAGTTTGATCATGCAGGATTGGGTTAGCAAGCCATAGACAAAATAATAGAAATAAATAAATTTACTTGATATCAATTGCAAAAAACATCCTTATTAGCTCCCACCTTTTCTAGTCAAAGTACTATAGTAAGTATACTTTTCAAAATCTACAGGAACAAAGATTAGCTCTGGGCACAATTTACGTGCAATAAAACCTGGCATTGCAGCACGAACCCCATATCTCCGTGCCTAAAAGAAGACAAAACATCTTCAGAAGAGAAAGTGAAAAGCTAGATAATCAAAATCCTCACATGCAGATTTTCAAGTAAAAATCCTCAATCAACCACATCGACAGACAAATTTTTCATACCTCATAATTAGCAGTAGATATCATAGACATGCCGCCAACAGCCATTGCCGTGCCTTTTAGCGAAGGATTGCTCAATGTCTCAACCGCGGCATAAAAGGCATCCATATCTACATGAAGCCAAATTCTTGACAAGTCACGTGTGGCTTCTAATTCGGTAATCCTTCTTTCAGCAATCTGTACATTTGCATAAACACTGAGATAATTAATCAACAAAAACAATAGCATAACTTATGACAAAAATACCAGAAACCAACCTTCTGATAGTGAGCTATGTCAGTAATTGAGAGCTTTCCAAGCCTTTCACGCATGTTGTCAGTCCTTTGCCTCATATCCGCCTCCTTGCGTTCCTCATTTTCAAAATACTTCGACCCTTTGTCATTTCATATACAATTCTCTGTACTTTTTCCTTATCAACTCCATCCATACCTAAATGTATAATGTAACTTCATCAAAATATGGCAAGATTGGCAACTTTAAAAGGCGCCGCTGCCATCTTTTTGGTCCTATAATACACATATATCCATATAATAAGGAAAACTTCCAACATAAATATGTCAATACAAGCCTACATAATATTGATCCCAAAAAATCGATTAAAGGAACCTATAAAATCAGATAGCTTTGAAATTGCCCGGCCTAGAGTTACAAGTTCTCAGTAAATCACTTTCAAAACCAGAAACAAAGGACACATGGGCGTGCAAGTAGAAAACAGGGACATCAAATTAAGCCATAATTTTATAAATTAGTTAAACTTGTGGTAAAATTGACCAGACCCAATTATTAAAAGAGAAAAAGAAAAAAAAAAAAACCTAACTATCCAACTCCCTTTTCTCCTAAATTACCAGAAATGGCATAGTGTTGGGTTTTCTAGACTAATATGATGAAGAATAATTATGCATTGTAAAAGTCAAATGACCATTACATTTTACCTTATCAAGATCCAAAGTTCCTCTACAAACACTATTAACCAACACCATCAAGCACACCGTGCAGGCATAGATACATATAATGCTCAAATATACTGGATGCACCCTATTGATAAATGACCTGGACAATAAGGTAAATCAAAGAATATGACACATACCAACCCAAACACCAGTAAAGCCCTGGATTCGAGAAGCCTCAATAGAAAAAGTTGAGAAAAGAACACGAATCACCACCTCCTCAAGAGCCCTCAGGTACCAATGAAGATCCATGTTGTGATTACGAAGGTTGATGATACGGTACATAACCAACTACAGTCAAAGATAAAATAGTTAGAATAATAGGAGACAGGGATGATCTGAAAAATATACGTTGCAGAACTCAGCACAATTAAGTCTGATTTCAAGTACTTTTCAGACTTTCAGCAGAAGGAAAATACTGCAGTCACATTTTCTTTTTTCTCTACAGGTATCACATTATAAGCCCTCATGTGATCTTCTTAACAAATATTTTCTATTTTTAGCCCAAAAATGAAATCTTGATAATGAAAACAAGCAAAAATAGATGCATAACCATTTTCAGAAATAGATACAATTAAACATATAGCACAAGATAAGTTTCAGCAATAAAAGAAAGATACAAGAAAAGGATCAAGAAAAGAGACATTCAAGTAACATTAAAGAAGAAAATGTACCTGTCCAGGTCCATGATAGGTAACTTCACCACCGCATTCAATTCTAATAACATCATAAGGGGGATCTTTCACATTAAAATTCAAGAACTCCTCGGAGCTACCGGTGCCCAAAGTATACACAGGAGGGTGTTGCAGCATAATCAGAGTATCAGGGCACTCTTCATTCCTCTCAATCAAAGATTTCTTCTCTTTAACAATGGCCTTCTGGTACAAGCACATTATGAAGGTCACTATATTCACATCTGTTGCACAATTGTCACACTACCAATTAAGAAACAATGTTAAACTCTAACTAAGTTTATCCAATCAATATGTTAAGCTTGTCAGAATCAGTCTTGAAGGTATTTAAACTACCTTTTCCATGTAGAACACTTTGACTGATTTGTTTTGCCAAGTGAAACCCGATTAAGTGAGTTTAAACGATGAGCATAAGAATCCCGGTTACACTGCCATAGATTGTGAATTGGGTACTTGATTACAAGTCATGTGTTACAAAAGCCATAGCATGTCCCTGTTACAATAATACGAGGACCCGAAACCCCATCAATTGATCATCATCGTTAACAAATTGGAACCACTAAAAATCAAATTCAATAACAAATGTCAAAATATGATGCAATTTTACAAATAATGAAACTCAAATCAATAGAATCTATACACTTTGATCTCCACATAACAGCCACTATCTTAGTGGTGCTGAACACAGCAATTACAAATCCCATTTCAAAATAATTCTGCAATTGCAATGAAAATATTACAACTTCCACAATAATCATCAATCCACAATCATATAAAAATAGCATTAATTGCATACCCTATATACTGAACTAATTATAAATTACAGATAACACAAAAACTCAAAGTAATCAACCTAATTCAACTATGTTCATTAAATTACCACAATGGGCCAATTTATAAATCAGAAATTTAGGTTTTAGAGTGAAAGTTGAAACTTAAAATTTGAAAAGCAAACCGCAATGTGAGGGCGGATGCAGGCGGAGAACTGGTGGCAGGAATCAGGCGAGTAGATGCTCCGGCAGCCGCAGAGTCAGTCACTTTGGCTCTTTCCTAGGGATGTCAGTGGGGCGGGTCAAATAGGAGACCCGCCCCATCCCCGCCCCGTTGGGGCGGGGATGGATCTTGGTTTGGCGGGTGGTGGGGCGGGGATGGGGATAAAAACCATATCCGCCATGGGTGATGGGGCGGGGGTGGATTTTAGGTTGTACCCGCCCATCCCCGCCCCGCCCCACCCGCCCCGCTTCGTACCCGCCCCATCCCCACCTACCTCACTTCGTACCCGCCCCATCCCCACATCCATATATTTTTAAAAACAAAATTATATACTTCTATACTATTTTATAAAAAAAATTATGTAAAATAAAATAGTAAATATAATAATTTGTAATACACTTATATTATAAACCAAAAAAATGTGTAATATTAACAATAATTTTTTTCTTTTTGCAATCTTTATTAATTATGAATGATTGTGTATTTGGAAGGCGGGGATTAGGCGGGTCTTAGGTGGGGATTAGGTGGAGGTGGATATCCAAGTGGGGGTTGGGGTGGGGATGGTTTTGGAATTGTACCCGTCGGGGCGGGGATGGGGATGAATTTTAGACCCGCCGCGGGGATGGGGATGAAAATTTTTGGTGGGGATGGGGATGGGAAAGCCAACATCCGCCCCGCCCCGCCCCATTGATATCCCTACTCTTTCCTGTAAAATCAGTCACAACGACAAAAAAAGCAGGGCATTCTTTCTGTGTGGGACGATGCCGCAAGCAGAGCCGGAAACGCGGTAAGACTTTCTAGAGATAGCCTTCCAGACTCAATCTATTGACAGGATCTTCTTTAGCTGAACCTGAGTTCGATTAAAAAATAAAATAAAAATAAAGAAGAAAACCTAACACAACAAAACACTACACTAATACAGTATACACTACACTACCCAACTTAAAAAGAAAAAGAAAAGAAAAAGTTCCAATTTTTTTACTCTCCCAAGGCTGCAACAGCAGATAGCATAACATTAGCATTGCTTGCTGCCAAAAGTTGTGGTTGTTACATTTTTATTATTTTTTTAATTACTCTAAAATAATTTATTTTTGACATTTAATTAATAAAAATAATTTTAAAATGACTAAACTCTCAATCTCTCTCCCCCATAAAACATCTTCACCATTTTACCAGAAATCTCTCAACTCCATTTATTTGCTTAAATTATGATTTATAAATGATTTGGTACAAACCATAATTAAATTAAATTTAAAAAAGTCAAATAAATAAGTAAAATTTCAAAACAAATACTGTAAAAATTTACTCACCCTTATCATAATTAATCGTCGCTTCGGAAGAGGCTCGTCCTTTGAATTAAACCTTTCACTCTAACAAAAATAAATAAATAAAAAATCCCTTAATTGATAACTAATTGCGGAAAACATAATCCAAAAAAATCAAAATTGAAGAACATACAGGTCGAGTGAAAGGACATTGATTAGGAGGATTGTTCCTTTGAGCATTGCCTGAGAATCCGCCACGACGAAGTCCTCTTGGATCCTTAATACGCTCAGTAATCTGTTGAAGAAAGTTGGATTGAATAGAAGAAGAAGATTGAAAAATAGAGGAGAGAGAAAGACCTCGCGTTGTTGGCGTTGAAGAGCTTCAAGTTCTTTGCAGAGTTCATCCTCAGTCTTCTCAACACTCTGGTTCGCCATTCTTCTCAGTCTATGCTGTCTGCTTTACCGGGTTCCCCTTGGCCGAAGCCATTCATGGCAGAGGCTAAATAGCTTCATGCCAAGCTCAAAGATCCGAATCGAGCAAATTGGTTCGGCATTGCTCAAGGCTTCTCCAAGCCGAGGTGGTGTTTCTCCATTACCTAGCCTCTTCGCAAGCTCCGCCGAGGAAAAGAACTCCCAGCCGAAACCACTCGTGGTTGAGGTTCGAGTTTCCAGCCTCTGAGCAAGCTTCGCCGAGGCTCCATTTTTGAGCCATGCCGAGGCTAGCAACGCCGAAGCTTCAAGCTCCATAGCCGAGGCTAGCAACGCCGTTCAAGCTCCATAGCCGAGACTAACAACGCCGAAGCTTCAAGCTCCATAGCCGAGGCTAGTAATGCCGAAGTTTCAAACTCCATTACCGAGGCTAATTATGCCGAAGCTTCAAGTTATGCCGAGGCTCAAGCTATGCCGAGGTTAAAGCCATGCTGAAGTTCAAGCTATGCTGAGGCTTGAGGCACCCTTGCCAAGGTTAAGGCTCCATTTAAAGCCATTCATGGCTGAAGTTTCTGCTGAGGTTCAGAGACCACGCCGAAGTCGTCCAATTGCCGAAGGAAGAATTTGTCTACAGTTCATAAGGAACTTCAGCTTCACGCTCCATGCCATGGCCGAAGTTTCAAACTCCATTGCCGAGACTAATTATGCCGAAGAACCACCTTCGCAAAACTTTGCCGAGGTTAAGGCCCATGGCCGAGGTTTTCTATACCGAGGTCAAGGCTCATGGCCGAGGCACCCTTGCCAAGGTTAAGGCTCCATATAAGCCTACTGCCGAAGCCATTCATGGCTGAAGGTTCTGCCGAGGTACAGAGTCCACGCCAAAGTCCTCCACGCCGAAGTCCTCCAATTGCCGAAGGTAGAATTTGTCTACTGTTCATAAGGAACTGTTCATAAGCAAAGTTCTGCCGAGGTTCAGAGTCCACGCCGAAGTCCTCCAAATGCGGAAGGTAGAATTTGTCCACTGTTCATAAGGAACTCCTCACTTTCCTCACTTTTTAAGAGTTATTATATTATTATTATTATTATTATTATTATTATAACTCAAAAACAGACAAATTCATACAACTTACAATAAATTAGTGGGAAGCCGAGATACAATCTGGGCCCCCAGTCCTCTAGCTATAGCAAAGTCTACCCTAGTAAAGATATGAGCTGCAGCACGAGCCCCAATGTCTTGCGTCGCCGAGAACCTCTGAACCCGCTTCAACAACGCAACACCCTCCTTCTCTAATTCTCCAAGCGAAGAAAAGGAGAAGGGAATGAAACCATATCCAATTTGCCGACAACTAGCTTCATACTTCTCTCGCTTACGATGAGCCGCATCAACCACAACCCGTCCAGGAACAAAGTCAGATAGCCCTGTCTGTGTCAAAGGAGAAGACCTAGTGAGGTCCACACAAACATCGCGACCACGATCTCAGGAATAAAGTAACACATCAGCAGGTCTGAGGGCCCCATCATTCCCTCCGGACAATCCTATGTCAACCTCCTTTCTTGCTGAAATCCCAGATCTGTAGCAAATATCAACAAGGGTATCCCGGACAACATTATGCCGATGTTTAATACCGACAATACCAGCACACGACACCGCGTGATCACCGAAAAAATCCCCAGTAAAAACCCGAGAACAAGCAGAGCATGGCGCCGAGATAGAAAACAATGGAACACCCATCCGGTAGCACAACACACATCGGTAGGTCTTTGCGTTCATCGTCTGACCTAAACCAGAAATAGGGACCGCCCGAAGCCAAGAAGAGGAGTGATCTCCCTGTTGCGATTTCCACAATGTCGATTGCCAAGGAGAAAAAGAAAAGGTGGATTCTGCAGAAGCGGTAACCTTTGTGAAATATATATCTGCCAATTTCTTCATGAGTTTAGGGGCAGCGATCTCACTAGGATTACTCAAAATGTCAGACTTCACTATTCCATTAAACAGACTCAACGCATCTCCAAAGGCTCGTCCAAGACCAACATTGCCAGCATGTCGTAAAAGCTGTGTTTGCAACCCAGCAGACTGTAACCGAGAAGAAAGAAAAGCATAATGACGAACATCACCTGCTGAATATACCCCAAGCCCTCCAAACGCAAATGGTAAGGTGGCAAGTCGCCATTGCCAATCACCAAACCCAGGCCCCGAAGCAGTAACAATACGCTCCAAGGAGGATCGAAGAGCCCCGTCAAAAGTGCGCTGAGCTGTCTCAAAAGTACTAGGAGGACAAGTACGCAATGCAAAGTAGAGTTTAGAAACTCCGGTACATGCTCTAAGTAACAATAACTCACACTGAGGGTCATCAAGCATAGCAACCTTATCCATAAGCGCAATGGTCTTGGTTACCCTCTACATCACAACCTCTCCACCAAAGATGGAATCGAAACTAGCAAGACCACCAAGCAACTTAACACCACGCAAAGGTCGAGTAATATTGGGCGGAAAAACACCCACAAGCCTGCTTCGAGGGTCTTCTGTAGGCCAGAATACTTCAGTTTTTTCGACATTAAAATGTAACCCAAAACAAGGTCCTTCCTCCATAATCAACTGCAGAACCTTCCCCACAGCCAAAGTGTCACCGATAACAGTGCCGTCATCCAAATACCAGGCATGAAGACATAAGTCAAAAACATCTCTGATTTTACAAACGTGGGGTTGTAAAACCAAAGCAAAAATTAGAGGACCAAGGGGATCACCCTGCTGCACTCCTTGACACGACCATAAGGATTGGTCCCCATAATACAATCTGGCTGGATTGGAATAGCGGAATTCAACCCATCGCGAAATGTCAGGACAACGACGATGAATTTCACGAAACATGACCGTACGATCAACAAGATTGAAGGCATTTAGAAAATCCACCAACAACATAGAAAGACCAACATTAGAACCTCGGTCCTCAATCAACCGATTCACAACATGAAGAATTGCCTCACCACCCGAAGAAACCCCAACGCCAAATTGAAGACCATCAAAGTAACTTCCTACAGACTGGTCAATCATAACAGCACCCACCTTCGAAACCAAACGCCGCCAAATAGTACCCACAGCTATAGGACGAATACCACCACCGGGCTTGACAAGTGGGGTAAGAGGAGCACTAGCAATATATTCTCCTAGTTCCATAGGACACTTTCCAGCTAGAAAGAGATTAACCACCGCGGAAATAGAATCAACTAACTCATCTGATACAGCCACAGCAGCACCACTCAAGCAATCCAGAAGGTGCTGAGCACGTAAACCGTCCCTACCACATGATGTGCCACGGGGAAAACTCTTAATCCGATCCAAAGCAACAACAAAAGTAGTAACGAGATGAAGACCATCAACAAGTATATCAGGCAAGGATGGAGCCGGAGAAGTAGGGTGTTTAGACTGTAAATCCGCAAGAGTGGCATCATTATAAGGGGCAACGCCAGAAGAAGAAAGAACCCGGACTGCAGCAGTGTAATGGCCGTCACAAATCTTCCTACGCATTGCTTGATATTACGCTCCTCTAAATCAAGGTCCTCCTCACCAACCACTGATAAAGTAGGAGAATCCTCTGCCAAAGTATCCCTCACAAGCTGCAAATTACCACCTGGTGCACTCCAAGAACAAATAGCACGGGAAATACTCTCTTCTTGATGCCGACGTTTTACCAAAGACCTAGACTCAGAGCTGCTCCGCGGGCGAAAGGTTTTAAGGACGCAAAGAGGTAACACCAACAAAGAGACCCAACTAGAAATGTCATCAGGCGTAGAAATCACCTTATCAAAGGCACCTTTCAGAACCCGAGAAAACCCCAATCGACACTTGGGAGGTACAGACTTCACAGTACGTAACCCCTTGGAGAACAAACAATCAAGAAGAGCCACATCAAAACCAAAATGTTGATCTTGCACCAAACCACCTATGCGCCTAAGCTGAGCCGAAGAAGAGGGAGGTTGCGGCTTTGAGAAACCATGAAGCACAAAACGAACAACACCGTCTCCTTCATCCGAGGGTGACACAATCTCACTTGGACTATGACGACACTTAGACCGATGCGTATGCGTCTTGTAGCAAACACCACATAACCAAATCCCATGCGCGTAAAAGTAACTTCCGCCTCATTATAAACAGCCAAACTAAAAGTAAGAGAATGTCGGGTGATATCTCGCGCACCGATACAACAATGACGGTCACTAAGATGCTTGATTAAAGAACTTCTAGTAAGGCCATTACCACTTCCATCATGACAACCACTAAGACCCACAAAGGGGCAATGGAAAACTTACGACTTTTAATTACCAAGGTTCTTTTAACCCCATAACTCTAACGTTATGAAGTGAAGAAAAAGATTGAGCATTACACTGAAGATAACCCAAATAGGAATAATAGGTTCATTTTTGGCAGATTAAGAATATTAATTTAATTGATACTCTGCTTAAAAATTTGAATTTAGACAAGGGTCGTGTTTACGTAAGTATCACTGCATTGACGTATAAGGTTCAAGCTGGGTATCGGTTATGTTATTCTCTTGCATATCCTTTACGACAAGCAAAAAAGATATCTGCTGCCTTAGTTTCAACTAATTTATTGCGGATTTGTACCACTCTGGAGTGTACTCGGGATAGTCTGTGGATAAGTATGAGAGTTCCAGGTTAGTTTTGTGGTGACATTATGTTTAAGATTAATGATCAGTATATGCATGGGTTAGATAGATCTCCCGGTGGAATAATAGGACAACCTATTCCATCTGCGGGTTTAGGAACAATGACAAATGTTGTCATTGCTAATGACATTACTTGTCTTTTGATAATTGAGAACCATGCACTTTTTAGTGTTCTATGGCAATTAATTTATCACACCCGTTACAAGCGCATTATGGTTAATTTATCTGGACATCCTGACCTTTTGGTTCGGGAATTTCTGTACCGAATTAGTGCTGCTGATAGGACTCTTCCGGTTTTCTGCTTATGTGACTTGGATTTTGGGGGTTATTTGATAGCTAAAGGGTTGAATTTCGGGATTGTTAATAGTGCATTTATGCACGTGTATTCCCACTGCAAAAGTTTACAGTGGATATGCATCATACCTTCAGACATCACCGCTTATGACCTGCAATCGGATTATAATTCAGATTGCTTATTACTACTGATCGTGATAAGTTGAGGGCTCACATGGCTAAATTTACTCATTTTTCTTTGCGTTGGAAAGAAGAGTTAGAGAAGATGATAGATTTATCTCGAAAAGTTAAACTGCAAGGGGATGGAATTGTGGATAAATACCTGTTGTGTAAATTAGAAGATGTTTCTCGTTGGGGTGAGCCATAGGTATGATGTATTCTAATTCCTTCACATCATTAGCAATTATATTCCTACCATAATTATGATTCTATAGTATAAAGTCACTCTTTAAAATGCGGTAGTTGTTTCAACATCTTCTACCAAATTATGATTAGGCTCATCATAATTTGGTAGAAGATGTTGAAACAACTACCGCATTTTAAAGAGTGACTTTATACTATAGAATCATAATTATGGTAGGAATATAATTGCTAATGATGTGAATGAATTAGAATACATCATACCTATGGCTCACCCCAACGAGAAACATCTTCTAATTTACACAACAGGTATTTATCCACAATTTCATCCCCTTGCAGTTTAACTTTTCGAGGTAAATCTATCATCTTCTCTAACTCTTCTTTCCAACGCAAAGAAAAATGAGTAAATTTAGCCATGTGAGCCCTCAACTTATCAAGAAGATCTGAATTATAATTCGCTTGCATGTCATAAGCGGTGATGTCTGAAGGTATGATGCACATCCACTGTAAACTTTTGCAGTGGGAATACACGTGCATAAATGCACTATTAACAGTCCCGAACTTCAACCCTTTAGCTATCAAATAACCCCCAAAATCCAAGTCACAAAGGCAGAAAACCGGAAGAGTCCGATCAGCAGCACTAATTCGGTACAGAAATTCCCGAACCAAAAGGTCAGGATGTCCAGATAAATTAACCATAATGCGCTTGTAACGGGTGTGATAAATTAATTGCCATAGAACACTAAAAAGTGCATGGTTCTCAATTATCAAAAGACAAGTAATGTCATTAGCAATGACAACATTTGTCATTGTTCCTAAACCCGCAGATGGAATAGGTTGTCCTATTATTCCACCGGGAGATCTATCTAACCCATGCATATACTGATCATTAATCTTAAACATAATGTCACCACAAAACTAACCTGGAACTCTCATACTTATCCACAGACTATCCCGAGTACACTCCAGAGTGGTACAAATCCGCAATAAATTAGTTGAAACTAAGGCAGCAGATATCTTTTTTGCTTGTCGTAAAGGATATGCAAGAGAATAACATAACCGATACCCAGCTTGAACCTTATACGTCAATGCAGTGATACTTACGTAAACACGACCCTTGTCTAAATTCAAATTTTTAAGCAGAGTATCAATTAAATTAATATTCTTAATCTGCCAAAAATAAACCTATTATTCCTATTTGGGTTATCTTCAGTGTAATGCTCAATCTTTTTCTTCATTTCATAACGTTGAGTTATGGGGTTAAAGGAACCTTGGTAATTAAAAGTCGCAAGTCTTCCATTACTGGTCTCTTCCTGAAGTTCCAGAAGCCTCTTTCGAACCAATTCCGGAGCTAAGAAGTGAGCTGCGATTATGTCAGGCAGAGTCCTTTCTTCCTCCTCATCTTGACGAGTATCACCGTACCTACGACGATAGGCACTAAGATTTTCTATTATAACTTCATCCGGAGGTGGACTTCTAGCCATGGCTTACTAGTTACTACTTGAGAGAAGGAGATTGAGCCCGGATTTTGAGATGGAGAGAGATATTAGCAGTGTGTGCTTGTTTGGTAAGGAAAACGGGAATTTAGGGCTCGGGCTCACAGGTTGAGATGTCCTGCAATGTAAAAATGACTAGTTACATGGTATTATTGAGTAGGAAATGCATATTATTAAACACTTGATAAAGCCAAATTAGCCTAACATTTGGGTGATAAGTTTTGAAAGAGTGGAAGCATATTAAAAATATATATACATATATATTCATAAGACCGTTGGTGTAATTCACAAGAGTGTAATTAATTAAAACAATAGTAAATAAAATGAAGATTGAAAGCAAGTTTCCAGCGAGAATTATATGAGCCAATAGTAAAGGGGGCGTAAAACAACGACATTTATCTAGGTATCATGAAATTCATAAATTCTATTATTGACAAAATCCATATATGAAGGCAATAGTAGCTGTCAACTCATCAAAATCCATAAATTTGTACTATTAAACCAAATCAATGAATGAAAATGAACAATGAGGCAGCAATTCAACAACATTGTTAAAAGAACGAACATTGGTAAAAGAAACTCCAAAACCCCTTTCTCATATAACAAGAATCAATAGTTCCATTTCATTCCATACATTTATATTAGTATCTGAATCAAATAGTAGTGCATTACATTACCCTTTTAACTCATGACTACCTTAAAGTTGAATCTACCATCAATCAAGAGAGAACTGATGAACTTAACTCTTTCGCATTATATTCTCAATCCGTCTAATCTACTCCATGCAATGATTTAACACACAGAAGTTTATGAGGTAATTAAGTTACTGAATTATGGTCACCTCTAATTAAGGTTAATATCAAATAAGCAGAAAAGTTTTGTGAGACTAGTATCTTTAACTCTAAACTTTTAAGTATAGTTTGACCAAAGAAAGGCTCTTAATTTATTATATAGATATTGACAAGTAGTTAATTAGTAAGGACTTAATGAAACATGTCAATTAGCATACGAAGAATATTTTAGGTGAAGTAGGAAAAATGCATTAGAGAAGTTTACATAAATGATGGACTAAGGGGCTGTTTGGTTCAAGGGAATCAGGAAAGAGAATAGGAATCAGTCTCCTTAATTCCCTTTGTACGTATTTGGTACACAATTTTTTCATTCCCTTACAGCACATTTACTTAATCAAATCACCCCAAATCCCTGAATTATGATTCCCTCCTCCCCCTTGGACTTGGATTCCCCAACAACACTACTACATTTTTAATCTAATACAACGGTACAAAATTAGCTAATACAACGGCTAATTTCATACCGTTGTATTAGACTAGGCTTATACAACGGTTTATACTAAAACAGGTCTAATACAACGGTTAAACCGTTGTATTAGATATAAGAATCTGTTGTATTAGACCTAGTCTAATACAACGGATCAGTAAAAAAAAAAATGTCGTATAAACAGGTCTAATACAACGGTTTATCCTAATCGTTGTATTAGATATAAGAATTTGTTGTATTATACCTAGTCTAATACAACGGATCAAAAAAAAAAAGGAAGAAAAGTTGGGACAAGTATTAGGCTATTAGCGTTATAACCCACGTCTCTCAACTTCCCTCATTCTCTCTCCTTCATTCTCTCATTCTCTCTCTCTCTCGAACGCTCTCTCGCCTCTCATTCTCTCTCTCTCGAA